GTGCATAAAGGAGCCAGGACATGGGTGGAGACTGAGAAATCAGTAAACTTAGCATGCAACTGTAGTGTTAACATTTCTGCTTGAGGAACAAAGTTTTCGAGCAACCTGGTTTCTACAGCCAGCTCCTACTGGTTTTTTGTTCTATACCACGGCTGTTCAAATAATTGGGGTTGGCGTGCTGTATCTGAACTATTGGGTCTCTTTGGCCAAATGATCACCTCTCTGGTGGTGAGGCGACCAACAGCGGTATTAATCCCTATCTACTGACCTTGTTCCTACCGCTTGCCCTGTGCTGCCAAAAGGCATCCCTAATGGGAAACCTGGAAACTCTGCAGCAGGATGAGCAGCAGCAGTATCAACCCCCTTCCTGTTACACAGTGTGTGGAAGATCTAGATCCTTAATTCTTTGTGAACAGCAGAGATGCAGTATATTTGTACTCAAATGGAAATCATTTTAAAATGGTCTTTTGCTTCACTTAGTAAGACCACATGTACTTATATAAATTAATCTAAGAGGGGAGGGGCCAATTAAGTTTACTCTCAAAATAAACCCTGCAAAAGGAATCACAGCAGCAAAATGAAATCTAACCCCAAATTAAAGATAACGATTAGCTAATTAATGCAATTAACAAAAACTAATTAAGGAATAATTATTTTTACAGCAGAAGCACAATGGTTTGATTTATTGTGAAAGCCACAAAGGAAATGAAATAAAATAAATCATTTAAGCCAAACTAATTACTAAATTACTAGTAGGAAGCAAATAAGGTTTTATAAGACATTGACGGGTAGTATATTTTTTTAAAATATTTTTCTTGGGGAAATGTTTCTGTAATTCCTTACACAGAGGTGAAGCTCAGGGAGTTGCACAAGTTACAGAAAGCTGCATCTATTTCTCTGTTCCCTGCACACCAAGCTGCTTTGAAGCTGGTTTGCTATCTACCTGGTTTGCTATCACTGTCTCTCTACTAACAATGCAAGGGAGTTTTTGGTAAGATCAAGTTGTTCTAATGGCTTTTATGCTATACCTTCCAGTATAGAGTTGATGGAAAAATTAAATAACTGGTTACTCATACTTCCAGCAAGTCCTGGCTACTGGTACAACACACAGGACACTGGCAGCTAATGTAAGTCTGAATAACCTTCAGATTTCTCTATATTACACCACTACATGGGGAATCCCCTCAAATGGAGAAAGGCAAAGGAGGTAGAAGTCCTTTCTAGTCCTATGTGCATTTATTCTTTGGCCTCTCTCCTCAGTCTGAAAATTAGGTGCCAATTAGTGTTTAATGGAAACCAGAAGATACTACTTCTCTTTAGGAAGAAGAGTGCATTGAGATATTTCTTTTTCTTCATTCTTAACTCAACCTTTAATTCTGTGATCCAGAACAAAGCCAACCTCCTTAACTTTGAAAAAGTTTTTTTCCTGCCTCTGCTTCTGCAACATTTCCCACAGCTAACATCTCTTCTGGGGCAGGAACAGAAATTACACTTAAACCAGTATAAGTGATCAGAAATTGATGCAAGTCTGTAAAACAACAGAAGTTCAGTGCACATAAACTGCTTTCAAAATGGCTGAAACTGGTTTAAGATAAACCTGGATGGATGTAGTATCAGACTTGACTGATGTAGGTTAAATTGGTTTATTGAAATTCTGTCCCAGATCTCCTCTAGATTCAAGTAAACTCAGTCCCCACAAATCCCAGAATGCTTTGTACCTCCCCCACAGACCCCACCCTTGCAGGGTGAATGGGCTAGCCTTAGCTCAAGCTGTCTGCTTCAGCCAAGCATGGATGCATGCTCCAGCACCACTCCCCTCAGCTTCTGGCCTAAGCCACTGCAGGCATGTAGCTGCATTTCTGGATTCAAAAGTGAATGTCTGTTCACTTGTTTAGCAGTTCAATCTACGCAGCTCAGACTAACCTGCAAAGACTGAACTGATTCAGCCTTGGGCTTTTTAACTGTCTGTACTTAGCCATGTAGTTTTCATTTATGCCCTCATTTCTTCCTGCCTCTATGACCAATCTCCCCAGGTCTCTGTTGCTTAGCCTCCAGAATGCGTAGAACACTGCTACCTTTTTGCTTATATATACCATTACATTTCTCACATAGTCGGATCAGACTTATTGTTTCAGGGTCCAGGTCAAAATTGCCATCTTATTTTTAAGTCGTCTATGGACTGACTGTTCTTTCTGTTCTCTTGTCTGCTCTCTATACTTACTCACTTTTGCTCACCTTGTTACACCAATGTTGGTCCCACAACATTTCCTACTGAAGCTTCACTCATCCAAAACAGCTTTTTAAAACCTCTTTGTCATGTCAGTGCAATGTTTCCTAATAGCTCTGACTTTTCTCTCCTTTGCTTGAATCTTTTAATTTTTCTACCTATTGTTGTTTATCCGTGTAATTTGACTTTGTCAAGGATTTTGGATGAAGTTTGCATGACACATACTGTACAGAATAGAAATGGGTCATAGCCAAAAAAAACCCCTGGATCCTGAATCAAACTTTTCTGAACTTCAGAGATGCTTGAGTACATTATGTGGCTGGGGCTAGCTGTAAGGTTCAGCTCTTAAATCAGATCATTTAGCTACTTTTATGGCCTCCATCAGAACTAGTCTTGGCTCAGGCCTGGCTCTCAAATAAATTAAAGTTCCTTCAAATTATGACAAACTATTACTACTCTTGCTAAATAAATTAATAGATTTAGTCACTGATGTTCCCAGTCTGATTCTGAAGATTTAAGGTCCAGTCAGGCACATGCTATGTCATATTAACTGGTGTGAATAGACTCACGAAAGCTATTGGAGTTGGTTAAGATAACAAACATTATGTCTGGCAGTGAACATGTGCAACATCTGGCCGATGAATGTGAGTGTCTCCACATCTTATAAATTGGTTCATCCAGTTTTCCATTAGAGTCTTTTAAAGAACAAAAGCCAGCATCTTTAAAAGTGCATATCCAGAGGAGCTGTTGACTGAAAATCAAACTACCTTCCTACATGCCTAAAAATATATATCGATATCTAACTTTAGGCACCCAGCTTTTGTAAATCATGGTCGATATGGGGAAAACAAAATTGAAATATGCTGAAAAATATCCAGTGAAAATGAAATTTAACAGACAATGCAGACAATGCAAAGAAATATCATTGCCACTAACTTTTCATATTTTACTCTATAACAACTGTTTATTTTGTGCTTAATCTCTAAGAATTATCTTCCAGATTTCTTTTTCTTCTTAAAAAAGATGACCTAAATGATGATAGTGTAACTTTAAAAGTGGCACCAGCAGATATATGTATTTGTGTAGATTTACTGTAATATTGACACTTTAAAAGTGATGCAGTTGGAAGCTCTGCTGAATCACTTGTGTAAGACTCTTAAACACAGAAAGGAATATGAACTATTTGAAACGGTCAGATTTGTATATATGCAGAAAAAAAACACGGTGCACTTTTTAATTAATTAAACAGGAATTTTGCAACCTATCCAAAGCAGTTCAGATTTACAGCAGATCTACTTTGCACACATGCATAACTGAGACAATAAAAAAAGTAAAAATGCATAGAATTTAAATTTTAAATAGTATCTTCTCATATTTGAAAGGATCAAATATGATCCAGGACCCACACGATGTATATAACAATACACACACAACTATTGCACAACGTATTAGGAATTTAAATGAAAAATAACATTTCTGGCTCAATTTTTTAAGGAAAAATCCAACTAGTTACACTCTATGGATTTTAATGGGAGCTGGATCAAGAAGTAAAATAGTATAACTATCTTTAATAATATTACCCTTTCATTAGCAACATTTCTGGTGCTCCCACCCATACTCCTCGTTTTCAGAGATATTACACAAAGTTTTGTGGCCTCTAAAAAAAGAAATACTTTAGAATGATACCACAGCATAAAGCACAGAATAAATACTCAATTTATTTTCTTGATGGTATCTCTCTGAGAGTGTCCCCACAACAGTGTTCCAAAGACAGGAGACAAAAATAGTGACTTTTTATTATATTCTTGAATTTTTCACTTGGTTAGTGAATTTTGTATCCTATGTAGTACCCATTTCTAGACAGACTTAGGAGGTCCGTGATCTCACTGTCACACAAGAGATGGGTATAACTGAGAACCACTCAGATGGGAACCCTAGAGGCATTAACTGGGAGCTCCAAAGCTATTGGCAGGACTATCTAAACTACATTGCTTACACAAAACAGTGTAACTTAGATCAATTCTGCTTCAGGCTTTCTGAATGCTTATACTTAATCTATGACTGTCTGTTGCACTGACTATGCCTGTTTTACAAGTGTGGTGTAAATGTAGGCATCTCAGGCAGGCCACTCTCCTCTTGTGCTCTCCAGCTATTTCGCAACCTAATTACAACTGGCTCCTGCATAGGTGTTATTCGCTGAACCCCATCTTGTTCACTCCTTCAAGCATGCCATGACTGGGCTCCAAGTTTCCATGGTATAGTGTGAGAAGACAGGCAGGTTTTGTCCTCACAATATTATCCTTCCCAGGACCACTGGTATTTGTTCTTTGTTACTTCTTCCATATTCTAATTAGTAAATATGATCAACCACCGTAGAAAAAAAGGACTGAATAGTAAAAGCAAGGGAACAATACAAGACATCCAGTACCTAGATGCAGTAAGTTTAACGCCTATTGCTACTTGAGAAGAAATGCTAGAGCTTCCAAACTAACTGTTTCCTTCTGTATGTTTGCACCACAAGCTTAATGTTCTTTAAATTACATTTTTGTAGCCTATTTCTTTTTCTTTCTTTTTTTAAAAACAATTTGCACATTATTTTTTAGTTTATGGAATAACAGGTCATGACAAAACAAAACTTTGTTCTAGGTTTGCACCGGCAATTGGAATGCATTAGCAGCAACTGGATCTGATATTACAGTAACTCCATGGGAAACTGCTGTGTATCAGAGCAAAGCATAAGCTTCTAAAAGGGGAAGTAAGAAGTGCCACTTACCAGTCTTTAAAGCAAATATCAAGTCATCAAACTCTTGTGACTCCTCATCAGTCATCAATGAGCCGTTACTAAATCCCCCAGTAGCATGGAAAGCAGCACCATTCTGCGGACTCTGCTTAAAGGCAGCGCTGGCTTGACTGGCTGGCCGCAGGGATGCCCTCTCCCAGTCTGCTGACACCTTAAATAAGTTTAAAAAAAGCCTCAGAACTTCAGTTATTACTAAAGCTAGTGTTCTGTCTTGTTAGGCCTTGTTTACATTATATGGCTTTGGCTGGTAGAAGTTCAGTTGGCAAACAGCAACCACCATAGGGAAGCTATCTGTGGAGGTCCAATATAGCAGCTGTGCCAGCATGGCATGCAAGGCAATCTGGCAGGCATCAACTGTTAAAGGGGCTGCCACAGCTGGCAGAAGCATGCCTTTTGCTGCCTGTTAGGCAGCAGTATAAACCTTTTTCACTCACAGAACTTGTTACTCTATCAGCAGAAGAAAGGGCTGTGCCATCAAAGGGGAGCAGTGAGTGTAAGCACCCTGGCAATTCTGCTGGCAGACCTTGAGTTCTGGCCTGGTATAGACTGATGTAGACCAGACCTTTGTCCAGATTATTATTTGACCCCCATCACCACATTAGCTTCAATTCGTGAGTAAGCCTTGCCCCAAGATTAGGGGAGCTGGCACTGGTTCTCCCCTTGATTAATTTTACCTTTACTCTCCACAACTCATGATCCATTTTCATTCCTTTTCATATGATTCCTTCAGTGACAACCCAATGCCTTCCAATGATACCATAACAGTATTTTATCTTCACACTATCCTATGTATTTGAAAATGCTGATGGACAGCCTGATAGCTTGGACATCTTTTTTGCTGTATCCCATTTGCTGTTTACTTCAAAGCTAGAGCACTTGAAAAAATGGATTTTAGTTTGTGAAAATGACTGAATTTAAAAAAAATAATATTTCATCACTAAAATATATATTAAAAAAAAATACTGCAGGTGAAATACTGAACTTTTTCTGGCTTTCTGGAATCCTGCCTTTCCCAAAGACCAGCAGTGTGGCAGCTGGGAAGCCAGGCAGTTTCAGTAAGCTACAGAACTGGCCTCACATACCAAGTGAGGAGCTGAGAAACTCAGGAAAAGAAGCAGGCCGGGTGAAGATCTGGAATACTTGGGAGATCTGATTAAAGTTTTAACAGAATCAACCTGAAGAATGTTTCAATTCCATCAAAACAGCAGCTTCTGATGGAAAATTCTCACTCCCCAGTCCAAATCAGTGCACATAAGGTAGGAAAAACAAGGGACTGCAGTCCTATAGTATACAAAATGTAAATCTGGTTGTGGTCAGGGCCCAGAATGGACAGAGAAACAGAGGGACTGGAAACAGAAGTTATTTTAGGCACTATTGTGTAAAGGGAGGGCTATGGACAAGGAAAGATATGAAGTCTCATTAAGTTTGAAGAAGTTACTGAATCTGAGAGAAAAGTCTGGGAAAAGCCCTACAATATTTTCATTTTGAGTATTATATCTTTGTTTTACATATCTTGACATCTGACAAGGCTCCTTATAGCATCAGTAAAGATTGGAGGTGAGAATCTGGTTCTGTGAAGTCAACAGGAGTTTTGCCAGGGACAGGATTTTATCTTAGAACTACAGTAACCTGACAAAATCAATCCAGTTTTCACAGTGCTATAACAAATGTCTGTAAGCAAGCTAGTAAGTAGTATGAAAAATCAGTAATTGTCAGGCATAAACTTTATGAAAAAGTTGTAATTCACATCAGTGTTATCGTTCCTGAGAATAACAACATTTACTGTACAAGCCACAGCCCTTTCTATGGTTGTATGTATATAGCTCTAACTTCATCCCAAATCCAAGTTATCCCATTATGTTGCTTTCCCATCAAATATATAACTGCATTTTTCATACTTATGACATGAGGTATATCAAATAGGTACCTCCTCCATAGCACCGATGAGATTCTGAGTAGATTTGCTGATTTCTCCTCCTGGTGCTGGCATGCCACTGCCGTGGGTAAAAAAGGGTGAGCCTGGAGTGCTGAGCCCATTCATATCCACAGTGTAACTTGCTTTCACAGGACAACACAGTTGATTGTGTAGGATAAAATATACTACAAAGACATAAAGACCCTGAAAAAAAGGAAGAGAAAAGAACATCAATATGTGAAACAAAGCAATCTTGAACTGGATTAGGAGCGCATTTATGACAAAGTCTGCCACATGCCAGAGCAGATGCTTCCCATCACTCCAACAGTCAGTGGTTCATATGACTGGGGTGTGATACAGTGGATAACAAGAGAAGATATCATTGTAAATCACAGACCTAGAAGTAGCCAGCAGTTTATATCTGGAGACTTCCAGTAAAAACAAAGGGATCAGTAATAATGATTATCTGGTTTAGCCAACCCAGTTACAGAACAAAGGAGCACAACAACAACAAAAACAACTAATGTTTCACAGTTGCCTAAACAAGGAGAAAACAGGTTTAGGGACTTCTTTACAACTGGACTTGACAACTGGCTGCTGCTTATTTGTTCTCTTATTGACATGGTAGATCCTAATACTCCTGCCCCAAAATCCATCTCATGTAAACTCCATTGCTGCTGTCATACATAACCAGCTGTAGCTACAAATTAAATCCTCCTTATCCACTAATTCAACACTGTCTTTTATTTATGATTTTTACAAAGGCTCTACTGTATGTCACTGAAGCTTGCCTTTAAAGCTTGCTAATTTTGACCTTTAGATTGGGTTAACACAAAGTGTTTAAATGTGTCTTTTATCTCCCTATAAATCCTATAATTCAAGTTTGGTGAATGCAGACTAACTCTCTCTTTCTGGTCTAATTGTTAAAAAACTTAAAAAAAAGGCAACATGCTAGAGAAGGAGTTTTTTGGAAAGTAGGATGCAGAACATTTTCCTGGTTTTAAATTTGCATTGTCTTTATGGCTAATATTGTCCTCAGGACTTCTGAAACAAATTTTACTAAACAGGACAAGATACTTTAAAGGTACCTGCAGGCACAAACTGGTAACTGAGGTAATAAATATTAAATCAGCTTTGATTTAGCTGCATGTATTAAGGAATTCCTTTGAATAGAAAACAAGACTAGGAACACCCAAGTTAGTCATGCAAGCACACCCACAACACAGCAGCCCTAATGAAACCACATGTTATCAGATTAACAGATTTTAAGACCAGAAGGAGCCATTATCATCAGCTAGTCTACAGCTACCTACAGCACAGCAAAGGAAGATGGAGCCCCTTTCTATTCCAACCAGCTAAACACCAGGAAAATATTCTCACAAAACTCCTATAATGCTTGCATCTCATTTGTTTATTTTGTGACAGTAAAACAGGCAATAAAAATGTTAATAAAGAATTAACTGAATTGAGAAAAATAATTGTTTTGATTCTTTTACAGCATGATTTTTGTCAGTAATGGCTAATGAATAAGTACTAATAATAAATAAATAAATAATCTGGAGTAAATAAAACTACACATCTGACAAGGCGGGTGATGAAGCAGTTAGTTACCTATAAAAGCTCATGTTTCTTTGAACCAGTTAATCTCCAAAGTGCCACCCTGCCCTGCCTTCTACACAATGATGTAAGTCTATAAATTGAAAAAGAAAAGCCCTGACTGCAAATATCCTATATCTCTGCAGGATTTCAGTGTCCAAGCACCCAGCCATAATATTTGCACGTCTCATCTGAAGCTTTGCATTTTCAAACAGTTACCTGAATGTTGAAAAATCACCCTCATGTCAAAACTTTATGTTCCCTTCTCTTACAATAGTGACATTCAGTGTTTTAGACCCATGCACCAAATGAATGGCACAGGGCTGGTCTCTAGAACAAATCAGACCCTGTGTGCTGGGATCGGATTCTGGGGTCCCATACTGCCACCACCCAGCTTTGCATGCCAGGATTGGGCTCCAGGACCCCAAGCTACCTGGCCCAAAATTGAGGCTGGGCTCTGGAGCCAGATGCTGCCTTTGCCCAGCCCCATGCTCCAAGATCAGGCCCCATGCCACCCTGAGAATCCAATCCAGTGTGCAGGGCCATGACCTGTAGGGCTCCCCACAGACTCATGGGGAGCTCCATGGGCTGGATGACATGGTGGACTTGGGCCCAGAGCTGGCTTGTGAGCAGAGGATTGAGCACCTCTGTTTACAATCATAAGGAAAAGGGATGTGGTTATGGAGGTATCAACTTCTAGCAGGCCCACATCCACTTAGGTGTGGCCAGTCTGGCAGGAGAAACCAGTAGGGTGTGAAGTGCCACCAATTACCGGTCTACTGTAGGGGTGGCTAGCATAATCCAGAAAGAAGACAGACATAGTTGACTGGCAAAGGGAAAAATGATGACATTGTAGAGCCCCAGCAGCCATTTAAGCTGCTCCACCTCAAAGCAACCACAAGACTGCTGGCTGTTCCCTATCAGCTCTTTCTGTCACTGTACTCTCCTTCAGTAGTTTTACTGTGGTAGTTCCTGGTTACTAGAGTCTCTCTCTGCCCTAGGCAATGCACAAACAAAAACACTTTGGTCCCATTGTTTATTCTACAAAACAACAGGTGGATAAACAGATGAATGTAAGTGAGGCCCAAAGCAAGAAAGTATGAGCATATGCACAAAGCAAGTAGGCTCAGGATTCGTAAGTGTCATGGATGGTTACTAATTGATGAACCATTTTAATTTTCACTGTATTTCACATATCTAGTGCTAAATAATTCCTATTCTTGTTATCTTAAACTAAGTCCAGGGAAAAATTGAGAGACTGACCAGATTTCATCTGTGTAAGTCAAGTTTTAAAACAACCCTTTTCTTGTTTTATAGTAATATGCTCCTAGTCCAAAGGAAAATGGGATCAGTGAAGAGTTTAATTTCAGTGACCTGAAGGATGTATTCCAAAATTAAAACTATCCAGTTACTGTACTGCAATAGCTACCTTAGTGATAAACAGAAGAGGTGCTAATGTCTGGGGATCTCTGTGTTCTTTTGAGATCCTGCAAGAAGCTACTGTAGTGATATTTAGCACTGAACACCAGGACAAAATTCATTATATGTGATTCAGTGAGACTCTCACATTTTGATGCACACTGGTGATGAAACTGCTGCCTTGTGTTTTCATGTACCGAGTAAATTGTCTCAGAGAGGTTATCTGAATTGCCTAAGAACACAAAGGGAGTCAAAAGGGGAGTCACTGATTGAGTCAGATGTTAGGATCAAGAATCCTGAGTACTCCTACTCTTGTGTGTTTAATATTGCAACACTGCCTTCAAGCAATAGCTGATCAAGCAGTTCAAATTGTATCTCATTATTCTTTATAATTCACAAAGGCATTGTTTTATCACAGCTAACCAAGAAGAGGGTGGCTCCTTCTTTGACTCACTTCCCCAATTGTGCAAGGAAAACTGAAGCATGTGCAATGAAGAGAGGAGTTGGCACAGTGATGCCATGTACCATCAATCAGCTTATGCATGGCTGTTTTAAAAAAGACCTCAAGTAATAGACTCCCTGCAATTATGGCTGTTAGCTGCCACTGCAACTACCTTTTGCAAAATCAAAGTATGCTCACATTGTTTTGGTGTAATCAAGTAGTTCTATACACACATTGCTGAGTTTTAGCAACCATAAAAACTGAGAAGCCTTGAATCAGGCTAGATTTATCTGTTCCCATTTTAGCTAAAAGTTAAATATTAGTACCTAGATGATGGCTTGCATTGAAATAGGAGTGAAAATGTATACACACTAGTGTTGTCAGTAGTGGCAGTATCTTTCACAGCATAAAGTCTTTTTTCTAGCAGTAGTGACTATGAAAATAATGGGGTTAGCAAAATGATGGATTCCCATTTTAAATTTTGTTATTGATCGTTTTGACCAAGTTGACTCACGTTCTACCAAGATACCTATCAAGATGATTCTACCCCAATATCTTTAAGGACATATAGGAACAGTTTTGCAGAAGAGAACCAGTATGAAACATGGTATGGCAACTACCAGAACTGCAGGACGATGGGAAAGGAGGCAGCAAGTGAAGTGGAAAAAGAGATACCAGTTCAGTGACAGCAGACAATTGTTCCAGCAAGTAGATACGCAGAGGTACAGGTAAGCCAGATAGTTATGCTGCTCAGGTGTCAGTTAGGCAATCCAATTGTCTAAAAAAAATCAGTTGCATAATACCAATGCTGCCTTCTGATTTGCACAGACCTTCAGAAGCAGTGGCTTTATTTTACAAACTAGTTCTGTGAAGTGTGCAGACAGACTGAGATAAATAAATTGGCTTTGGACTAAAATGATCATGAGAGAACACCAGGGGATGAAAACATGGATTTTCCAGAGATAAAATCATGAGGTGCCACAAGTTGAGATAAAGAGTCAAGCTTCCATAACTGTGGGCTGTCACAAATGAAGCAGGCACAGAAAGGAACACACACTCATCAGTGAGTTACAATTGCATGGTAAGACTAGTACTAATGCTGCTGTTATTTCTATGACAGAGAAGGCGGCACTAATGGGCAGAAATGCTTGTGCTGCTATCGGTGGCTGAAAACAGAAGAGAACAGCACTAGAGAGCAGTAGGATGTCACAGACAAAAAGTAAAGGCAGGCAGTTTCAGGTAGCATGATGCCACTGCCACTACCCTCCTCATGTAGATCTGGTGATTGACTAGAAATTGTGGGTGTGATATTTAGCTAAGCTGCACAGACTGTTTCACTTCTATTTTGGGATATAGTGATCATGATCATATACTAAATCAGGTACTTGTTACCAAGATGATTCAGCAAACACACTTGTACAACACTGGCAATTTATGGTCTCCCACCATGACCTCCCACCTTGGCTGTAGCAACACAAAACAGTCAGGAAAGACTGATCTGAAAAAGTCATCAGGTGGCAAACACACACTACAGTCCACTGGCAACCATTCCAGCCAATGGATTTAAAACAGCCCTGAAGCTGATCCACGCTGTACTATTCAAATCAGTGATATGCAAACATAAGACTCATTTTGCCTCCCAAAGGGGTCTTGTGTAGATCAGCCAGATTAATAAATTAGAACGTCATTTTATCCCTGTGACTATAGGCAGCAGAAAGTGACACCTTACAGGGTCCACAGTTTCCAC